TAATTACTGTATTACGTTGACCTTGAACTATCTATTTTCCTCACTAAAACTTGTTTTGCTTTGTTTTAACCTTTAAACTGTAAGAGTTACCAGTATTTTGTCCTTACAGTATTACTGCTGATTCATTCACTAATAATAATTATAATTTGATATTTATATTGTGCAAAATAACATGTGGATATGATCAAAATTAATGTGCATCACAACACTTTTCGGGGGACTTTGGGCAGACTGCATCAGCAGTTTACAGTCAATCGAAGGAAATTTATTTGAAAATGCCCCCTCCCCCCTAATTCCTATAGTAAACAGGCCAGACCACATCACAGTGATCTTGTGAGTAGGTTCTTTAACGTTCCCCGCCTAACAAAATTAACTAGTTAACAGATGCAGGAGATGGGGCCTACGGTTTATTCGTCCTTATCTGAGAAGACTAGAATGTCTATCCATTTCTAGATATTTTAGAAAGGTAGCACATTCTCCTCAGTTATTTTAAGATCTTGAGTGTTGGTCCAGCGGGGGCTCGAACCCTCAACTTAGACCTTCCCCACAACAGTCTGGCGCTCTAGCCAATTGTGCTAACCGGGAGGTTAGAGTAAAGGAAATGATTGCAAACCTGAGATTAGCTTTGATTTTCAAACAAATTCTCTCATTAGCATCTAATTAACTACCAATATCTATATTTTGGCCCTCTCCATTTTCTCTCTTAATAATCATTGGAGAGATTTTTAATTGATGAAATGGACGAAAACATAAAAACAATTATAAAACAAACACATTGGTTTACTCTTTTTTCTGTACCTAATTCCACTGTTATTGTGAAGCTTTGCAGGTTTCAAATCTATTGCTGAGCCCGGATAAAACAGAGACTAATACTTAAGATTTATAGATTCGACTCTGCACTTCATGAACCTTACCTATGTATGTATTGATACTGTAACTCCAAGCTTATCTGGTCTGGAGAATTGAAGAATTGAAGAAATTGTATGATAATACTTAATATTTATCTGAGGAAAAATTTCCACATCAAAGCCAAAGAAAATTATAAATAAAATATGTTAAATCAAACAATTGTCTTTGTTATTACTTACCAAATGTAGTTTGTGGGAAGTCAATTCTAAATTTATGTTCTTAAATTCAAGCGACTAGGAATGCATGGTATTTCTTCTTAATAGCTACCTAAAGATAAGGGTTTCTTTTGGTGATGTAGGCTTCACCAGATTGGAGATCACTGGAAAGGAACATTGGTTCTTGAGGATTCATATGGGATTTCTCCTGAAACATTGGTTATTGAGGATTCATAGGGGATTTCTCCTGAATATATAAGTCTTCACTTTCTGTAGCTTCATCAAGTGTATCAAGGAACAAGTCAGGGCAAAATCATCATCTCTGTCACTTGAATTAATTGTGCTTTTATGAATGACATCAATCATTTCCTTAGAGGATTTACTTTTTAGTTGTTCAGTAAGACAGTTCAATGTTTGAAATGCGTATTCAGAGTCATCTCTGTCTCTGCTTCTTGAGTTAATTGCACAGGGAGGGGTGGAAACTCTATGTTGCTTTATTGGATGGCCTTCTGNCCACTGTTATTGTGAAACTTTGCGGGTTTCAAATCTATTGCTGAGCCCGGATAAAACAGAGACTAATACTTAAGATTTATAGATTCGACTCTGCACTTCATGAACCTTACCTATGTATGTATTGATACTGTAACTCCAAGCTTATCTGGTCAGGACAATTGAAGAATTGAAGAAATTGTATGATAATACTTAATATTTATCTGAGGATAAATTTCCACATCAAAGCCAAAGAAAATTATAAATAAAATATGTTAAATCAAACAATTGTCTTTGTTATTACTTACCAAATGTAGTTTGTGGGAAGTCAATTCTAAATTTATGTTCTTAAATTCAAGCGACTAGGAATGCATGGTATTTCTTCTTAATAGCTACCTAAAGATAAGGGTTTCTTTTGGTGATGTAGGCTTCACCAGATTGGAGATCACTGGAAAGGAACATTGGTTCTTGAGGATTCATATGGGATTTCTCCTGAAACATTGGTTATTGAGGATTCATAGGGGATTTCTCCTGAATATGTAAGTCTTCACTTTCTGTAGCTTCATCAAGTGTATCAAGGAACAAGTCAGGGCAAAATCATCATCTCTGTCACTTGAATTAATTGTGCTTTTATGAATGACATCAATCATTTCCTTAGAGGATTTACTTTTTAGTTGTTCAGTAAGACAGTTCAATGTTTGAAATGCGTATTCAGAGTCATCTCTGTCTCTGCTTCTTGAGTTAATTGCACAGGGAGGGGTGGAAACTCTATGTTGCTTTATTGGATGGCCTTCTGGTGTACATCCCTCCTTAAGAGAAGTCAAATTAGCCCACTTTGCTCCTTTTGTTTCAGGATATTTGTCACCTCTTGTTCCTCTCTTTTTACTCAACTGATCATTGAATCATTTTAATAATCCTTACTTGCAGAATTGTGTTTTGATTGTAATTGCTAGACTTTTCCCTCTCAAGAGCCACAGTGTAGTTGTCATTGTCACAAATTATCAGATACAAAAGTTATAGGCATTATCACAATTTTGTTACAGTGCTGAAGCAGGAGATCTTTCAAATAAGCTACCTTGATCCATATTTGGAGTTATAGTGATGTTGCAATAAAGGAGAATTGCTTTGATTTTGTCAAGTTCATCAATTTTTACTGGTCATGAAATAAAAGATATTGAGAGTGAGTACCACTGAGACAACATCAAGATTTTGACTGGAGAGTAATTTGTTTAATCAAAAGCAGAGCAAGTTATTTCACCCCGTACCAAGTTTTAAAAGCTTTCAAAAGTGTAAGAAACAACCTCAAAAATTGCATGAAAAGACAAGGCAGTCATTACAGAATGATACACACTATCCATGCCCTTGGGGACTGAAAAGCCAAGAAATGTCAGTACAAGTTAATACCCTTTTCTGTTACCAGAATATTAGACACAAGTCAATACTCTTTAGCTACCAGAAACTAACTATACAATAGCCTTTCTTGTCACCAAATTAGGACACAATTCACTTTTTGCCTTTCAATAATCATCAATTCAAGCCAATACCTTTTCAGTCTCCAGATTAGTTAACAACCCTTTGACTCCCAGAAGTGATTGTCCATATTATGTAATAATAATCTTTATTGAGGAAACTTTTTCATGTACATGTGGTTTTCGAAAAGGGCCTCGAAAATTAAGATTAAGAGCTAATATACCTAGGAAGACTAAGAATATAAAATTTATAAAACACTTAAATTAAAAAATTATAAACCTGTCATTTAAAAATATTTACACTGGCAGAGTCTCGTATCATCTTGCTGAGAGAGTTAAAATCATTTACAGTGTGATAAGCAGTAAGCATATCCATACATTATCCAGCAAACAGGTAATGAGGGCACTCAAACTACTCCACTCAAGATGTTTTTATCCTGATCCAACACCAAACTCTCATTACTAATTTACAAGGAAATATGTGATAGCTAGAGGGGGGAATTGACAATCAGNCCTCACAAGCTGCACAGCTTCAATTCTTATCGTTTATAAATAAAGGCTTTACTTACTTACTAACCAAGGTCTTTACACTACTAGTACTAGCAGACAAGATAAGTACCGTATATAATCCTGCCTCGCCACTATTTAATACAACTTCAAAATCAAAAGGACTGATAAGCAAAATGATTGATTAGATAAGTAAGGAATAAAACTTCCTTTTCTGAGGCCGATTTTTCAAAGCTTACATAGAAAACGGCATACGTTTCAGTTTGTTTTGACACGCGTGCAGGTAAATATGGCGCTCAACACACACATTCACGAGTCAGTACAATGTTAAACTCACAGAAAATACAGGCAACAAAGCTTGCACATTCACAGAAAATTGTTCAGAATACCCGGCCACTCATTCACATGTTATTAAATAAGAATAGCGTCTACTGTGTTATGCTTCGTTCTTCAAAGCCTCCCGACACATGTAAATGAGGTGGACGGGTATTCTGAAGTTGCTCCAATTAGTCAATGGTAACCCACTAGGAGCCTGTAATGGTCCTTTCTTTGTTAGCTACTTTTACCGTCCTGTAGCTCGCCTTAGGAAGATAAGCGAAGCGCTTCCAAAATCATGTTGCTATGTGACGTCATACTGGTAGCGATAATTCGACGGTGGCTTCTACCAGAGAACAGGAGAGTCACCCCTCCCTCCTCATTTTAACATACCTGAAACCCCTAAAGATCTGGAAAAACTCTTTTTATCGACAGAAAAATATTATGAGGGAATCCTTCAAAAATGTTTTACATTTTAATTAACAATTATTCGCCGAAGGCGAGGTAAATATCGTCGAATAATCCCCGAGACGAAGTCGAGGGGATTATTCGACAATATTCACC